TCTTCTCTCCATTGAAGAACATGTGGTTTCGTCTGCACACAGCTCAAAAGAAGAGTATGCCCTCAATCACTCCTATAATTCCATTATGAGCTTTACATTTTTTTTGTTATGTTATGGGGTCATTAATAACTCTTATCAGTAATGCATCGTTTCTTTCTGCACATTCCCTTTCCCTTGTTCTCATCAGGCTCCTCTATGAACTCAGAATATACAAGGCACACAACCACATGCATATAGTTTTGTGTGTGTGCACGCGCGCGCTTATGATATTAGTATCCTAATAGCACCAGAATCTACTTTCTAGTGTTATGCGTTCTCTCTGAACTGCAGACAAACAGTGTAATGAAGTTGCTACAAAAGCCATTCTCTCTCTCTCTCTCTCTCTCTCTCTCTCTCTCTCTCTCATACACCGACACACATGATTGCACAAATCCCCTTTTTACCAAAACTGCACTTTCCTCCTCTTTCCTCAGGAAGAGGGATATACATCCTCTACGATGATGTCAAGTCCTGCCCCTGTGAAGACGTGCACGTGCTTTGGTCGATACTAGTGGAGGCACATGTCCCGGCATTGCCACCGATACAATGAATGCTGTTACACACAAATCCAGAGACGACAGAAAATGAGGAAGTTTTCAGTCATGTATATAAGTTATAACCTACATTTTGTACTATTATAAGTGCTCGTTTCTCCTTTTTCGTTTCTGGNATGTTTGAAGTTGATCCAACTCAAAATGTCCCAAAATATACCAAAAATCTGAGTCATAAAGTCTAAACTGTGCCCCAGAAAAAACCTAGGAATACAAGTGGACAAATAGGAGATGAAAACTTGTAGCAGACTCTAAAAAAGAAGTGTTTACTTGAAGCACAAGAGGTGACCCAAAAATAGTAAACAAACCCCACAAATGGGCATATCTCCAAAACTTAAAACAATGGTAAAACACACCTTACTGTAGCTTGAGGAATAAGGGATAATAGGGGCTTGTAGAAGTGTATATAGAACTGCTGACTGGTGGGGTGGCTCCTTCTGCTATAAGAGAAAAAAGGTGTGATAGAGACATTACAACAACAGAAAATATGATACGCATGATTGGCCTGCAAGTGAATGTAAATGTTTCTAAGAAACAGTGACCTAAACTTCACCCTTGTCTAAGCAAACTAGCAGTTTCTCTCTCTTACCTTTGCTACCTATTTCCTCCTATTTTTTTCAACTACAATGAGGCACACCCACTTCTGCAAATGGGGTGGTTTCAGTCCCTCTTCTCTCCATTGAAGAACATGTGGTTTCGTCTGCACACAGCTCAAAAGAAGAGTATGCCCTCAATCACTCCTATAATTCCATTATGAGCTTTACATTTTTTTTGTTATGTTATGGGGTCATTAATAACTCTTATCAGTAATGCATCGTTTCTTTCTGCACATTCCCTTTCCCTTGTTCTCATCAGGCTCCTCTATGAACTCAGAATATACAAGGCACACAACCACATGCATATAGTTTTGTGTGTGTGCACGCGCGCGCTTATGATATTAGTATCCTAATAGCACCAGAATCTACTTTCTAGTGTTATGCGTTCTCTCTGAACTGCAGACAAACAGTGTAATGAAGTTGCTACAAAAGCCATTCTCTCTCTCTCTCTCTCTCTCTCTCTCTCTCTCTCTCTCATACACCGACACACATGATTGCACAAATCCCCTTTTTACCAAAACTGCACTTTCCTCCTCTTTCCTCAGGAAGAGGGATATACATCCTCTACGATGATGTCAAGTCCTGCCCCTGTGAAGACGTGCACGTGCTTTGGTCGATACTAGTGGAGGCACATGTCCCGGCATTGCCACCGATACAATGAATGCTGTTACACACAAATCCAGAGACGACAGAAAATGAGGAAGTTTTCAGTCATGTATATAAGTTATAACCTACATTTTGTACTATTATAAGTGCTCGTTTCTCCTTTTTCGTTTCTGGTTCCAACATTTTCCCTGCTGAGTGACCTTGTTATAGAATGTGGTTCTAAATTATTGAAGTATGTTTGACTCATTCTGAAACTCTTTCTTCCAACATCCAAGCATGCTTAATTTTGACAGTATAGAAGAGAATATCCTAGAGTGCCATTTGATTCTTGGCAAGAAACAATATTATATAATTAGAAACATTATGTATATATACATATTTAAATATATGTGCATTATATGACATACTACACATTGCTATCTAATATGAATATATGTACTAGAGGCTTCATATGGGAACATTTTGGTAATCTTTTTTCTTTTTTTCATCCCTGTAAAGAAAGTATTTGTGTGAAGCATAATTCCCATTTTGATTGTATTTGGTTGCTGCTTTGTCGGTTTCAAGCAGTTGAGATAGCAGTTCAATTCTTCTTCTTACATCCATCAGGACATTACTGAGGTTGACTTATGAAAGCTATTGAATAGATGGGACAACCTATGGTATTTTCAAGCCATCCACATGATCATTTAATAATGATGTTCCTTGAATGCTCTATAAAGCAGTAGGGAAATCAGAACTACATGGTTTAACTAAGGGCAATGAGTATATTTCCAGGAGAATTCAGAAGATATATCTATAGGTTAAACTTGAATACTAGACAAATCTAAAATTAATCCCTTTTTTCATCCAACTGAGTTGTTTTTGGCAACTTCAATCAACTAAAAATAAGAGATTTGCACTAGTAGTTGTAGGAGTAAAATTAGCCAATCATCACATATAAATAAGGAAAACAACACAAACCACCCTCAAGATCTACATTCATTACACTTTCCCCACCTTTGAGGTTTGAGAAATCACAAAGAAACTCTTGAGTTTTCAAGTCAACTTACAGTCAATCCTTCTCAGTGAGATGACCTTCAATTGATCAATGAGTTTTCACCACATTATCACTTCTCAGTATTTTCATAAAATACCCACTTTAACCTAATTAGAATTACAAACAATTATAATTTATAATAAGTCTAAAAAATAGAACTATGAAAAATAAAATGTGGAGAAAAAAACCCTCTCCCCGTTCCCTATCTCTAGGCCACCCCACCACCTTCTCACCAAAAGAATCTACCTCCCACGTCAAACCCTCCACCTCTCACCACCACCTCTACAACCACACATCTTCCAAATCATAAATATATTATAGGGGGAGAGGGGGAGAGAGGGAGAAAGAGAAGGATTTTGACGTGGGTGGTGGGTAAGGTGGTGATTCCTAGGAAGTTTTGGGATCTGTTGCATCAAATCTTTGGGATTTTGAATGGTAGGTTTGATTTTCAGATCTCACATGTATATAGAGAGGCAAATTGTGTGGCTGATTTTCTGGCTAATCAAGCTGTCCAAGATCGAAGTTCTTCTGAATTTTCAGTTTCTGGGTCATTGCCTGGTGTGGGGAAGATCCTTCTGCAGCAGGACCAATGCAGATTGCCTGTTCTTCGACAGAAAAATTCTTTGGTTTTTTCTATTTGATTCTTTTATTTTGGATATAATAGGCTGTATTTCTATGTGATGCCTCTTATTTCTTTGTAATTTTGAGGTTTGTGGGGTGTTTGGGGGTGGTGGACGGGATGTTGTTTCTGATAATGGTTTGTGGACTTTGGGCAGTTTGTGGTAGATTCTTGGTCTGTTCAAGCAAAATAGAAAAGAGTTAAGACTGCTGGGATAAAATGTTGGCTATTTAGTGGTCGTCAAGGTTGTCAACACGTCTATCTATCGTTTTTGAAAAAACAGTGTATCGCATATCGTAAGATACATGCAGTTTTATAAAAGATAGTAAAAAATACATATAGCTATGACAAAATGTTTGCACCACAAATTTCTCACATAAAACAATTTCAAGAGACTACAAGGACCAAAATAAAAAAATTAACAATTTAAGTATTGAAGTTTCTAACATAATTCATCGATATCAAAATATAGAGAGTTCTAGTTCTAACATCTAAAGTAGCCGAAGGAGGACACTTAATCCAAACTATTTTTTCCAGCAATGGAACGAATTAAAAAGAAGACTTTTATTTCTTAAAAACTGTAGATGGTGAAACCAACGTTTTCTTACCTAGTGTTTAAAAAATTTACTTCCAAGTGAAAAGACACCCTTTTCTGGATAAAATTCAAAGGAAATTTTTTTGATCTATTTTGTCCCATATCAGACGACTCGTACGTATTGTTTGTTATATCAGCTGTATCGTATTGGGCATCGCATGATATTTGATACACTTAAACTATACGTATCCTTTTTTTTCATGTATCGCAACATATCGTATATATCGTACGATACTAACAACTATGGTGATTGTAATGGGAAAAAGGGCAACAGAATGATTCAGGAATCTCATCAAATTCCCATGAAATTCAGTTTTTAAATATAACACCATCTTCCACATCAAGAAAATAGAGAAATGGCTGGATCTCTTTGTTTCGTTTGGGAGGAGGAGGGAGGGGGGTTTGCGGAATGACTGAACTTATATTGGAAGTGTTTGCCACAACTACAGAAAATGGTACTAATGAAGCCAGCCATTGATGACAAGTTCGAACACCCGGAGCAGTCAGATAAAATAAGGGATCAGACCACACTTGGAAACATAAAACAAAAGCCAACCCTCACATCTGATAAAAACAGTATGTATTATCTAAAGTTAGGATGAAAATTGTGAGCAATCAGATGTCAAGCAAATATAGCACAAGAGTAGTCAAAAGCAAACGATTAGCAGTATTGATTGAGAGATAAATAAACCAAGAAGCACAAATACATAGACAAATGAGAAAACATAAGTAGCTCATTTATACACATAAATGAGTACGAGAGATTACTGTCATCAACATGGTGAGATGTGCTGGCTCAAGAATTCAAAGTTCCAAGCATCTTGAAATTTATGGAGTAACCATACAGCCATGGGTATGAGAGAATAGAATACTACTACCGTTTTGGACCATTCCAATAGGGGAACTTAAGAAGTAAAGTACATGGTGTAAAATTGAGTAAAAGACAGAACTCACAGCATCACAAGGCAGAGGAAGAAGGGCGTTCAGCCACGCCAGGTAGCCATTCTTTAAAGTATGCTTGGCAGTCAATCTCTGCAGGAGATAAGGCCCCAAGTGGCGTAACAGTTATCTGAAAAGAAAGGCAAATGTCACGTTAAAAATGGACCACCCTGTGCAGATAAGTAATATCTGGTAAAGAAAGCTACACACATATCCTTCTCGAAGGGAAGAGTAGTCTGTATCACCATCTTCAACTTGGCCACCCCTTACCTAAAGAAAACCATAAAACAGTAAATTTTTCTATTCAAAACTCCTACAAAAGAAATGATAAATCTAAAATCAAGCAAAACATAAGAACTGATGATGCAAATTCCAAGTAAGGTCCTCCAAAAGACACCATTATTTCTCACTTACGCACAGTGAGTTTACTATATGAAACTTCTAAAAATCTCAGCAAATAATACAGAATAAATGACCATTATCACCACCACAATTAAAACCAAATAAGAAAACAAAACTTTAGAAGATTAGCAAAATAGGTCACTGCCAAAATCTGGAAAAAAAAAAAAGAAAGGCCACTAGCAGAGATGAGAATGAGGCCTCACTTCTCTCTTGAATAAAAGATGTTCTTGTGGTATACTTAAAGCATCTGAATCTGTACATGCCGATGAATTCATCTCCATCGTCATTGTTGACAACATTTTTCCTCCTTGTGCACCAGAAGTAACTTGCGTCCACCCCATTCTGACAATACTCTTGCCCTGTCTAGTCAACTTATATCCCTATCAAAGAAACCAAAACAACAAGTGCAACTCAACATCAGGTTTCTATTCAGACTGTTCACTGTCCATATTCTTACAACAAAAAAGGTATTGTGCTCCACTTTATATCACCTGAATTCTAATTAATAGCACACATGCCTACTACATAACCTATCATAGTTGTATGAAAGAAAAGAGAGCAGATTACAAAATTTGAACATATTTAAAATGTCCCCACCCCCAACCCTTATGCTCCAAGTGTTCTCTTGTCCCATAACTTTAGCTACCACCTAATTAAAGTAGTCAATTTCTTAAAACGACCACATATTTCCTTTTCTTGGTAACACTGGCATGCTGTATTTAACCAATTTAACACTTGCATGCTGCAGGGGTCCTGCAGGAGGTGGAAAGGAATAAATAGGAAAAATTTAAACAGAAACCTAACATTAACAATGTCATTGTTGACTATTGTAGTTATATAATATGGAACAACAACAGATTTGGAGACAAAACAGATAGACAGACTGCTAGAATATGCACATGGAAAAGGCACCACTACATAAAAAGAAGAGGCACCTATTTTTGCAAATAGGTATGCATTAAACTTGGCCAATACACAAAATCAAGAACAGATATATCATCTCCACGTGGCAATTTCCAAATTTTCTTGATTATATATGCCCTTAATTGTAATAACTCGAGGTAACAATGATGTGTGCACAAGCTAATGTCAAATTCACCTTGTGATTCGGTACATTCGTTGGCAGATCTATATTCAGAAAACAACCCAGAGGATAACTTTTGTTCTTGATCTCAGCCAATATTGCACTTATGATAGGCAAGCAGGCCTCAGCAGCCAGTGTGAAGTCATTAATATTGCTCCTACCTCCAATCCTGGAATTCAATGCCCCAAATTAATTGTGAAGAACATAATCCACCACCCATTCAACAATTGTACCATCATGGTCGTAAGGAAGAGACAATAAACATCCATAGTGCACCAACCAAAAAGCTGACACTATAATTTCTGTCGGTATGCATAGGTTACAGAATAATAATATTTGTATGTAAAAGTTCCATAATTTAAATTGTCCTCCAATCCTGAAATTAAATTACACTTGATGCAAAATCACACAACAGTCTTTTAAAGCACAGGCCTTTAGCTGAAGATTCATATCTGAGACTTTTATCTTACACACTCCCATTTAGGGGGGAAAAACAAGGAAGAAAAAAATTAGTCCCATTTGCACACATCTCACCCTAGGAAGCACGGACACTTCATTTTGGGCAGAGTGTCGGTGTCGGACACGTCTGGAACACGGACACGCTTCGGACACGTGTCAGACACGTTAAAATAAGTGTCCCATTTTTTTATTATTAAATTTTTTTTAGTACACGTGGCCGGACACGCTGGGGGACACGTTTTGAGATTTATTTTCAATTTTTTTTGAAACTTTTCAGATAATTTTATAATTAAGAGTTATTTTTATAATTTTAAAGGGATATGAGTCACAATCATAATATAAAAGAAGTTATAATCATTACATTGAACATAGGACATGAATTTAATATAATTTTGGACATGAATATGAACTTATATACAAATGGAATAGTCTTTTAATATGAAAATAATGTGAGAAAAAATAGGATTACAAAATTGGAGCTCTTTGAATTTGATGAAAATTAGTATTACAAAATGAAATATTTTTAAAGTAAAAGTTGTACAAGTCATTGATTATTGAATCATGGGTGTTAATGTTGAATGTGTATTAGTATATCTTATATTATACTTTTCATGCAATGATATCATGATGTAAATTTTTAGAATTAGGAAAATAATGAATTAAAAGATTATTATAATAATTTTTTTATTTTATCACATGATTTTATATAAATATATATATAAAATACATATTATTTAACGTATCCGTGTCCTACTTTTTTGAAAAATTTCGTGTCGGCGTGTCTGTGTCGTGTTGTATCCGTGTCCGTGCTTCTTAGATCTCACCAATAGAATAAGTATAATTGATCATATGTTCACATTCATTTCTCTAATGGAAAAACAAGAGTTTGAAGCTTAACAATCTTATTTGCATCCCCGAACTGCATCACCTTTTGCAGCTTCTCTCACAGTAAGGCATGCCATGTGTTAGACTTGGAGTCCATAAAGGGAAATGGCCAAGCATAAGTGTTGGAAGCAGCTAGAAAGCAGGGGCGGAGCTACATTGGGAACTAGGTGGACATTTCCAACCCCCCCCCCCCCCAAACTTTTGGATCACTTTTGATGAGGACCCCATAATATTATTCAATGTACTATATTTCCTCCCCCCCTTTTTAAATTTACATAATAGCACTAGTCTCTCTTTTTTAACTGGTAAATTAGTGGTTCATTAGCCCCCTAAAACAAATGTTTTACTTTTGAATTGAGTAAATTAGATGTATGTCATGATCTATTTTTATATATTGAAAAAAATATAATATTTCTATTATTTAATACAAAGCTTCCTATCTTTTAAAAATAATTGTGTAGTTATCATTTGCTATTTTTCGATTTGTTTGTAGTCTAGACCTAATAAAAACATGATTGGATGCAAAAGCTACATATTATAACCCAAAAGCATTTTATGCTATGTCAAATACGTAATTTCTCGATAAGATCAAGAATGATCTCAATTACATTTTGCAACTATATAAAGAATAATTTTCCAACAGACTCTGTTATTATACCCATTAGTAGAAAATTAGTAAAAAATCTAGCTTACAATTAATCAATTATAAAAAATCTTAGAGATTTTAAAAAATATTGTATTTTACAATAATACATGATTGTGTTACTGTCTCGAATCTTAGTCTATTTTGTCATTCTTGCGCTCATTTTTTTCCGGTATCAACTTGTGAATTATTTTTAGTTATATTTTGCCCCCCCCCATCCTCATTCTTGGCTCCGCCCCTTAATTGAGATATACGTAAACTACCCCAGATACCTTAACCGCAGTACCAAAAAAAAAAAAAATAATATTACAGCTAGGGTTGCTAAGTTGCTGCACACCATGTCTAAGCTGGTCAAACAGTAAACAATCAGCTTACATTTGCTTGCATAATCATCTTAATTATCTCGTCAGTTCCATGTCTTGGAAGACCCTAATTAATGGCAGCATAGTCCCGACACAAGGGTGAATTATATCTGCATCATCTTCAGAAACCAAACATTTCTAGACAGTTGAATGACCAAAGTTTTATGATATATATATATATATATATAT